ACACACAAACAGAACAGTAGAAATCATTGAGAATTCTTCTATTCCTATAGTGTAGCACTCCCTTTCCAGGTCTGGCTGTGTGTACATTCATCTTATCCATATCTCTAAAACATACAGTGAATGTCACCCTGTGTGGCCATCCATCTATGAGAAGGACACTCTAAACAAACCTACGTCCTGAGGACCTCACTGCTATTGTCCAAGCTTGCTTGGCCCTGGCAGATGAACCTTAGGATTAAAGGGTGGGCTCAGTTCAGCGCAGGCTGTGTCTCACCTAAAAAATCCATTGCACAGGCTGGAAAGGTAAAAAGACCTTTCCCCAAATCTTCGTTTGCGAAGATGGGCCATTATTACAGTGAATGTCAGCACCAGAAGCTAACCTTTTTTTGGAGCCAGTTAAATATACGGTGCTGATACAAAGTGCCTTATTCTGGTAGTCAAGGAAAATAATTGGCTACTTAGTACTTAGGCATATCTGATTTTATACACCATATAATCAAGTTTCTACGAGTCCAAAGATTTAACTGAGTGGCAACTCTGTAAGAGGTGCTAACTATCCTTTGAAGTTACAACATGCTGACCATTCAAAAACTCATATATTTTTCCATGTAATAACACTGGATATTCACAGGAGAAGCATATTTGGAGAAGTTATTTTCCCAGAAGGAAAGGTTTCGAAGTCTTCAACTTGTGTCATGATATAGTCTGTCTTTCGCCTCTGGATTCCTTTGTCTCAATCAATTGACACAATGAAAGAAAAAATCGGATTATCATTATCTTTTTTTTCACCATTTTAAAATGAATGGATGAAAGTCTTACGTCATTTGCCTGACCTACCACTTCCTGAAATAGAGCTCAGCTTTGAAAAATCTTTCTCTGGTTGTTGTCTTTTGCAAATAAGTGATGATCCTTGTTCTGCAGTGGTAACCACTGTAAATCTGGAGCATAATCACTGATGATAGCAAAGAATTCAAGTCCTGGAACCTGAAGTGAGGTTTTACATCTTTCTACACAATTACTAAAAGACTCCCTAAAAAAATAGTTTTGTAACTACAATCCAGCCCATTGAACCATGTAAAGAATAGTGATAAAATTAGAGCAGAGTATTATAGAATAATCTGACAAGAATAAGTCTGAGACTTTTAACTGCTGTACACTGCACTGGATTATTAATTTCTGATCAGATACCAAAGTACTTCACCCAAGTATACCTATGCAAGTCACTTTCATTTAATTTGCCTTCTGAGAGACATGACAGCATCTGTACACCTTGAGATGTAATTGCTGTTATCATTCAGAGTTTTTTTAAACAAACACAATCATCCTCCTGAATTACTAACTTTCCATGACAATTTTTTGAGGCTGCATTTTTTTAAACTAATATCTTTCAGACAGATCCTGAATAATGTAAGAGGATAAAGCCCCCATGAAAAAATCAAGAATTCAGAAATGAAATTTCAGCTGTCAAACTTGGTTGATCTTTATTCCCTTAATATTCTTCAAACAAACCCCATTTCACTCTATTTCATAAAGAACATTACCTTAGAGGCCATAATATATCTGAATTTTGTTCTAGGTTGATTTTTAAGTTACAGTATTGAACATCAAAAAAAAATGCACATTCTAACCAGCTATTATGAGGAACTGCTGCCAGACGTGTGCTCCCTCCTTTTTTTTCTTTAAATGTTTGTGCAGAAGAAAATTATTTCAGATTCAATCCTCAAGACAGATTTACAGGGGTAAAACAGCCTTTCTCTGCAGGATTTAGAATGGAAACACAAATTTTATGGAGGAGATCTTACCACTGCTCTGATTTAGCAAAGTACCCAAACAACCATATACAAAGTGTAATAGTTCCTCTGGAACTATTTCTGAGTGTCACTTGTTTGCATATTAAAGTGTCTCAGCATTCTTGGCAATACGACAAAGCATTCTTCAAGCTCTTAATTACTTCTTAGGGAAGCTTGAGAGGTATTACACTTGCTGCACAAATGCTTTAGAAATGGCTAGAAGGCCAAAGTAATGACCCCATTCGCATCGCTTAAGATAAGGACAGAGGTACTGTGCTGAATGAAGTACTGTCCTGCACTTTGGCCACAACAACCCCACGCAGCGCTACAGGTTGGGCACAGAGTGGCAGGAGAGCAGCCAGGCAGAAAGGGACCTGGGAGTTTGGGTTGACAGGAAGCTGAACGTGAGCCAGCAGTGTGCCCAGGTGACCAAGAAGGCCAATGGCATCCTGGCCTGGATCAGGAACAGTGTGGCCACCAGGACCAGGGAAGTGATTCTTCTCCTGTACTCAGCACTGGTGAGGCCACACCTTGAGTGCTGTGTCCATTTCTGGGCCCCTCAGTTCAGGAAGGATATTGAGGTGCTGGAGCAGGTCCAGAGAAGAGCAACAAGGCTGGGTGAAGGGACTTGAACACAAGTCCTATGAGGAGAGGCTGAGGGAGCTGGGATTGTTTAGTCTGGAGAAGAGGAGGCTCAGGGGAGACCTCATCACTCTCTACAACTATCTGAAAGGAGGTTATAGCCTGGTGGGTGTCAGTCTCTTCTCCCAGGCAACCAGCAGTAGGACAAGAGGGCATGGTCTTAAACTGTGCCAGGGGAGATTTAGCTTAGACATTAGGAAGAAACTCTTCACAGAAATGGCAATTGGGCATTCGGATGGGCTGCCCAGGGAGGTGGTGGAGTCACTGTCCCTGGAAATATTTAAGAAGAGACTGGATGTGGCACAGTGTCATGGTCTAATTGACAGGGTGGTGTTGGGTCAAAGGTTGAACTAGATGATTTCAGAGGTCTTTTCCAGCCTAGTGGGTTCTGTGATTCTGTGAATTCTGGCTTCTCTTCTGGATGTCAGTACGCAGCATTTTTGTGAACAAACTTTGGGTTTCCATAGCTATTTACATGACAAGGATCAAGGAGGAAAGAACATTAAAAATACTTATTCCACAATTTGTAAGTAACTCTTTAATGCTTAGAAAGAACTGACAGCAAATGAATTCTCATTACTTTACTGCTGTTCTGAAAGTGTCCCAGTCATGCAGCTGCCTTACCAGTACTGGCTAAGCTCAGCCCAGGGGGAATGCCAGACCTCTCACACTGGTGTCTTTCATTAAATCTAATCCCAATTCCTACAAAGTTTAGAGGATAGCATTTGAACTAAAATTATCTCAGAGTGCTTGGTTCTCTCCTTTCGCTTCTGCTGTCTGCCACATCCAGACTTCCCTCAGAAGGGGAGCTGTGAACTAAAGAGAGAGATATGCCAAGGTAACTATGTAGAAACATTGTCATTGGTACCTACCATGTAAGGTTTTACTTACATTTTTTGTACATCTGCAAGTGAGAGGTGACCCTGGGAACCTAACAGTGGAAAGTGCTTCTACTGACCTGTACATCACAGATGACAAGTGAAAATACTCAGATTCCGTTGAGATTTACAATGAGACCAGAGGCTATATGAGAGCTAAGACTTCAGATTCAGTGTTAGTACAACCCTCTTGAGGTATGTTGTCTAGATAATCACACTTCCTCCCTACCCCAACTGTAATTTGGGGTATGTGTGCATTTGCTTTGTTCATAAAGCTTAATGACTTTCAAAGCACAATATTTAGCAGGCATATAGTTATACAGTTAGTGTGCATACGTTACAGCTGTACCAAGACAATAAAATGTAACAGAAGCTCCTCTGAAAATATTTGTGTCTCTGTATGTCAATAATCTGCATACAAAGGAGTCCCAAAGTACTCACTAGTGTGATAGACTGGGCATTAAGTGATGCATAAGTAGCCCTTTAGACAATACAAAAGAAGTTTTAGAAACATTACTCTCTACTATAAGAAAAAGCTCAGCAAGCAAGGACACATTTCTCACAGACTTTTAAGTCTGTTATCTAAACCATTTAAAAAAATCAGATTTGATGCTATTTAGCGGAAGCTTAGATTAATGCAGGTTTCACTGGCCACATGGCAAACACAGTTTCTTGTAAACCAATTCCCTTAATTGTCTAAAAAAGGATTGTTTAATTATTAATCTAATGCAGTTTTATTTCTGCAGGAAATGGAGCCAAATCCATCAGTGTGAATAAAACATTTAAAGTGGTGTCTCAAAATTTAGAGAATAAAATTAATAGAGGCTTTGCTGGTTTCTAAGTGCAGTTCCACTGCCTACTGAATGAGACTCCATTCACTTCACAATCTACCCTGCTGTTCAGAATCATACTTATCGGTACATACAACAGTCAAACTGTTCTTGCACAATATGAATATGGCATGACCCATGTAGTGCAAGAACACCAAATCCTAATAACATAGGACCACCGGATCAGAGCTCTCCTGTTTCTGCCCAGGAGTTTCAAGATGGGCAGAGCCAACCATCAGTAAAGGTGCCATAGCTGTTGGTCTATTAAAAAATATCCATATCACTGGATTGAGCATCTACAAAAAGCACTAACTGGCATCTTTAGCTTTGGAGTCTATACTGAGAATTTTAACAGAAGTATTTGGTTCTTAGCAGGATAAAAATTAGGACTGTGATTTCAAGAGGAGGGATAACCCATCCATCCCTTTCACATGTCCATCAGCAAAGGCTCTATTTCTTTATGGGACAGTCAGGACCATCTGGTAGTGAACAGATAACATTGTTGTCCCTTAAGTTATCATAAAGGGTAACTGCCGGAAAAATGCCATTTGTGAATGTCACATGATGAATCTGTGGAAAAAATTAGAGAGTTTTCTATGGGTTTGCAATATGTAGTCTAAGAGCAAAAGCATTTGCTTCTCAGAAAGAAACAACCTAGAACCTTCATTAGGTATGCTTTTCTGACGTATCAGGCCTTTTAGCTGTTCTAAGCTGAATGCCTGTAAGTATTAAGTAATACAAGGTGGAATTTCTCAGCCTGTGTGGTCAAAAGACATAACCTTCACTTGATTTCTCAGTACAGTGAAAGAGAACGCACTTGCTGTTGTTAGACCATTAGAGATTTTTATGTAACATCCTACCTGCAGTGGATTTGGTGAAGTAAGAGGAGATGGAAGTCCATGCCCTGGTGACTGGCTGGGTTTCTGAGGGGAGCTGGAGGACTGTGGGACCAGAGGAGGTTGAGTCTGGCTCTGGGACTGTGTTTGGTTCTGCTGCGGTGGTGCTGATGGCTGTGGCTGTGACTGCTGGGTCTGCTGGGGTGGCTGTGGAGTCTGTGCCTGCTGACCTTGCTGCTGCTGCTGGTTTTGCTGCTGCTGCTGTTGGTGCTGGAGCTGCTGAAGATGCTGAAGCTGTTGAAGCTGGGAGTTCAGGGATGAGGTAGCTGTGAATTGAAGAGAGCTCAGGGAGTTATGCAAGTTTCAGTAATACCTGTTGTGTGAAAGACATTTGGATTAAATTCTTTTTCTGTTACTCTGGGGGTCACACTGCTCACTGAGAACAGGTGGCCTCAAACTTCAGGATGTGGCAGGAAATTGTTCCCATAAGAAATAGCCTGTGGTTCTGCCAGTATAATTCTGTGGTAAGAGCTTGACTTCACTAGGGGCAATGAAAGTAAACCTTTGAAAGGGTTATAGGTCTGCCCACAGGATGGGGGTCAGAGCTGACCAGCAGTCTTTGCTCAGACAAGCTTACCAGCGAAACCAATGGGAATATTACGTGCCTACAACAGCTTGTCACTGTACACGGTACAGTAAAAACTCATAACATGAACCGGTGCTGTTATATAAAGGAGGAGAAAGCCAGAATTGTAAAATAAAAGATGCTCTGAAAGGAGGTTTGTCATGTCATTATGCAACAGGTATCAGGAAATAAAACATTGAGCTGTGAAATTTCGGTTGAAATGCCTAGGTAGCAAAAATGCCCAATAAAATATGTGTGTCTCTGAAATAAGAATTGCTCCTTATAATTCACATCTAAAAGCTATGAATTCCTTCTTGTGACTTGCACTGCTCACTTACTTCTGGTAGTAAAGATCTGCTGTGTTTTGCTAGCATGTGCTCCAAATATGAGGCTTGGAAATGAGTGGCTCATGTTAACCTGCTGGCACAGAGGAGCAAGCCTTATTTCCCAGAGACACTTTCAAATTGACTCGGGCATTCATTAAATTCAGGAAGGCAGAAAGTGTGTCATAAGGATGTCACTAAGGAAGAACAGCTTTAAGCAGCAGCTAGAGCATCACAAGAGCCTGATGCTTTCTGGGGTTATGCCCCGAAAAAATCACCTGGGTCTCCGGCCTTACCCACTTTAATCAACATCTCAGGGATTGTGTTAGTTAGCTACAAGATCCCAAGAGGAGCAGCTTGCAAGGTCATTACACTATTTTTCACTCTGTATACTACTTTGCCAACACCACCCTGTATTCTAATTTCTAACCACAGAAGCCAAAGTAAACTGGGAATGAATCAAATTTTTTATTTCTAAAATGGCATTCAGATTTCATGGCCAGAAACTCCGTTCACCAAGTTATTTGCGGACTGGCAGATACAGACAAGTCATCTCCACTTTCTTTTCATGCCAACATCCCTATTTCAGCTTTCTAGATGTCTATGCCCTGGGGTTGAACCTGACGTCTTGGTACGACTTATGAAATCAATGAGCCATAAACTGGAATAAGCAAAAGAAAAAAGAAAAGAAAGTGGAGAAAAATGAGGCAGAATGGGTAAGCCAGAAAAGCCTGTGTGAAGAAAAAGTGTGAGGCTTGATAGGAAGAGCTGTTGGTTATCCATTCGTATACTTGTAGCTGCTCTAAATTTTCTTTCAATAGATGTGGGAATCAAACTACAAATATGCCTTTACAAGAATTATAGCCATGTGTATGTGACTTCAACAAGGAACCTGGATAATGCAGAGAAGGAGGACCAGTAATACCAATATATTTCCATCACGAAAGTCCCATCAGAAGTTTTGTGTTTCAACATAAAGTGACCATCAGATTAAAAACATGCATAGTATCTCATGCAAAAGAAATCACCCTGGAGAAGTAAGGGTCCACTCCCATCAATTTCTTGATGAGAACTTGTACCTAATGCCCCAAAGCCGAGAGGGTAGTAAGTGGAAATATAATCTAAGGCATAGGACGGTTTGAATACAAGAAAGCAACTGCATAGATGAATATTAACCATAGCATGAAACATCTCAGATGTCAAGGAAAACTATTCATCAGTTCTATCTGTAGGTATGTACACAGAGGCAGAAAGATCCTTCCTATTCCCATGAGGAAAAAAGAACTCTAGACCAGCTCTTTATCTTGTGCAGGCCATTTCTTCACCTGTGATAGCTTAGCAGACTGGATGACCTACTGATAACCAGAAACAAGACCTCAAATATAACAGACCCTTATTGCATCCACAGACTCCAATAGAGAAATTGATTAAATGACATCCCACAGAAGAATAACTTCTAATCCACATGGCTCATGGAGAGGAACGAGGGATCATTTTATATCTTATGAGCACAACTGGACAGGATGAGACAAAACCTTCTTATCTAGGAGTAGAAAAGCTTTGCTTTCACTACTGCTCAATACTTGAACGTTGGTGAATGCAGGAATATTGATAACTCTACTATATAAACTTTTGTGCTGGAAATGAAGACATTCTTGCTGGGGTGAAGGTACTCCCTGAAGGACAACCTTGTTGATGGAGAAAAGTTACTTCATGGAAAAGTTTCCAGGTTCATTGCCAGCAACTGCACAAAGTTATTCAATTAACTTCTTGAGTTTTCATATAATTCCTTTAAAAAGCCTCTTTGAAACCTATCATCATGCTGAGCTTTAAATTGCATTGAAGTGCCTTAGTGAGGTATGACTGTTTAACATAGTGTCACTAAACAAACAGATAAGGACTTGGAAGAAGGACTGTTAGATCGGGAAAGGCATTCTCAAAGCCACACAGTAGGTGTACTGCAGAGGTGGTTTTAGGGCTCTGTATCATGCCTGCAGTCCGTTGTTCATGCTGCTGGATTGCACTGCCTCTCATAGTGTGAGTATCCACAGCAGGGGTTGTGTCATATTATTGTTTGCAATCAAATCCAATCCAACTCCTAGAGCTTGCTTGCGTAGCTCATCCATTATAAATCGTATACCTGTCTAACATTTGTCACTTTCTGCAGAGCTTGGAGTCTGATGGAATTTCAGGTGGTACAACAGTGTTATGTCTGCGTGTATAAAAGATAACATGCACTGCCTACCTCACAGGAATCTTTTTTATGACTTACTGGCTAACAGCTGGGTAAAACTTTGACATATTTAAGTGACAAGTGCCTACTTTCTTTCAGAATTGCATTCAAGAATTAAAGAGGCTTGCAAAGAATCACAGAAAGTTCTTTCAGTGGTTAAAAAAGTCAACATCAAGTGCCACTTTAAAAGAGAGACAATTAACTTAAAATGCATGCAAGCTATGAAAAAGAGAGACAATTAACTTAAAATGCATACAAGCTATGAAAAACCATGAGGAAAATCCACAAAAGCTGTGTGACATTTCAACTTTCCTTAAGAAAAATACAAATTGAATATACGGTAGGTATACATATCAGGTATCCAAGAAGACAGTAAGATGAACTAATACCCACAAGGAAGCAATGGCACAAGGGATTTTCAAATCTAGTGTTCAACTAGAATTTCTTGGTTGCTGTGGTGCCATGGCAGACTTCCCATGGGATCACCCCATAGTTTATGATCCTACTTTAAGCAGATTATGGTTAGTCACAGTATCAAAGCATTTAAATTAGAATAAGAGATATGGAGTTAAGTGGAGCAAATGGATGGTCAAGAGGCAGTGAAAGCAAACTTTCTGATCTCCTAGGTCATCTATATACTTGTCATAGACCTCAGGCTACTTTAAGGATCAGGTGAAGTTATGACGTAAGGAACACACTCCTTCTTGACTTTCTTCGGGGGATACTTTAGGCACAGTGGTGCCATGAATTTACAAAATTTGCACAAAATGTGTTGTTTCATATTCTGTTTCTCTGCTGGTTAACTACAGAGAAAACTGAAATGAAATTAAAATGCCCCTATGTCAAGTAGATTGTTGCAATGGGAAAAATTCACCTCTGATGCAACCATGCTGAAATAACCAGCCTGATCCATAATAAGGGAATGACTGAGTCTTTGTTTTAGCAGGAAAACTGAAAAGCCTCTGTCTTGTATTCTCAATCCTGATTGTATTAACTGAAAGTAGTAGCAATTGCCTGCTGCCTCTGGCTAAAATGTTATAATGTAAGTATGGAATATCCCTGGTTGTATTTTAAATAAAAACATACATTTTAAAGCTTAATCACAATTCTTCAAAAAGCAAGGAACATAAGTAGGCCCACAAATGTTTATATAATGAAAACAATTTAAAATTAGGACTCTTTATTTCACCTCTCCTTTGCAATATGAAATCAGATTCTTAAGACCTCTTTGGTGTTTGGCAGAAGATCAAATTAATGTTCAGGGATTCAATTCATATCTAGAATCTGCTCTTGTGGATAAGCTTCACATAATGTCTGATTTATTTCATTAATGTTTTGTGCATGTTTGTTTCTGTGTAAAGAGGGAAAAGGGGTAGGAGGAATAAGAAATAATTTTAGCTTACAAACTATTGTGCTACTCTAGCATCTATCCTCCTATTTACATAATTGCATAGTTGTTCTTCAGTGCCTTGATACAATGTACAATGGACTAAAAAGAAGAAAATCATACATTAAACCTTTTCCTATTTGACTGAGCACAGAACTTGACTCTTGCCATTTCAAGGGCTTAATGCCTTTTTCCACTTCCCCAGTAATGGAAAATGGATTTGCATTGCCTTAAACTGAAAAGTGTAACTAACTTAAGCATCTGGGCTTGCGTTTAAACTGACGTGGGCCGCTTTTTTTTTCCACCCTGTTGTTTCTCTTCTAATGAGGTTTATGCCTTTCCTTTCTTTGAAACATATTTCTAAAGATTGCATACACACACTGAACAATATAATGCAAGCCTGTGTTTACATTATCTCCCTCCTGGGTAACGAGGGGTAGGTTAGCCAAATACCTAATGTGTTTTTGCATATGCTCAAATTTTCTTTTTGAGAGAAAAAAATGTGAGTTCTTTTAAATGTGTTAGCATCCTCTTTGTGAAAAAAATCCCTGAAGGGTTGGACTTGTGGCTGAAGAGATTAGTAATGGGATAGAGAGCATATTATTTCTAAATCACTGGTTCAAATCAAGTCTAGGTCAATGTAAGGAACAAAAGTCATTGCACTTCAATGGTGCTTTTGCCTGTTTTCTACCTTATAAAAGATGAATTAAATGTATAGAAGTTGTATTCACACACCAATATCCACAGAGAGCATGCAT